CCTCCCCCTTACGGGCAGGAGCAGCAGAGCCTGCCCCTGGGCACCTACAACCATGCCCTGTCTCCCCTCCACGCTGGACACCGGGAAAACGCCCGCTCCCCCTCCGCCGAGACCTCGTCGCCGGCGCAAACCTTCGACTGGATGAAAGTGAAAAGAAACCCACCCAAAACAGGTCAGTGGCCGGCGGGAGGGCTGGGACGGGGGCCGCTCCTGTCTCTCTCCGCCGCGGGTGCGGCGAAAGCCGTGCGGTGCCCCGCCGGGCGCTGGGCAGGTAGGGCGGCCCGCACCTCTGGGAGCAGTCGCGGCTGTCTGCCCGCGGTGCTGAAAGCCAGCGCCGCTTATGCCTCACTTATTCCTGACTCCCACTTCTCCTCCTCTCCCACGGTCATATTGCTCGTAATTCATAAACCACTTATCAAGTTTCCTCTGACACTAGAGGCTGACTCCGGTTTAGCACCTCGCACTCCATCACTCACCCTGCCGGGGTTTCCCTCTTATCCAAAGAAGTTCTTGCTCCCTATCGCTTAGTCGGTGTGGACATATTGATTAAGTCCCCTATAAATCATTTGCACTCACTTACTTACCGCTGCATGTCCCCTCGCAGGCAAGGCTGGCGAGTACGGCTTCGTGGGGCAGCCCAACACCGTCAGAACTAACTTCACCACCAAGCAGCTCACCGAGCTGGAGAAGGAGTTTCATTTCAACAAATACCTGACCAGGGCCAGGCGGGTGGAGATCGCCGCCTCCCTCCAGCTCAACGAGACGCAGGTGAAGATCTGGTTCCAAAACCGACGAATGAAGCAAAAGAAACGGGAGAAAGAGGGGCTGCTGCCCATCTCTCCTGCCACCCCTACGGGCTGCGAGGAGAAGGCGGAGGAGTCATCGGAGAAGTCCTGCTCCTCACCCTGCAGCGCCTCGCCCGCCTCCTCAACCTCGGACACGCTCGCTGCCTCCAACTGAGATCGGCCGCGCCCCGCCAGCTGCCCGGCGCGCCGCCCCCGCCAGCGCGGCACGCGTCCCTTCACCGCCGCTCTGTCGGTCCCTCGGTCGGTCAGTCGGTCTCCCGAGAGGTCTCGGCGCGCTGCCGCTCCCACTCCCCCTACCTCCACCGCTCCCGCCGCCGCCCGCCCTCGAGGGTGCCAGCTCCGCCGAGTGCCGGCGCCTTGGTGCCAGGGGATTATTTTCCCTGCCCCCTCTCCCTTTTCTGCTGGAGGAGCTGTGTTGGCACGCGTGTAAGGGTCTCCCTCCTCCACTGCAAGGACGTTTCTCCGAGTTTCCCCCAGTGAACGACAGGTTATTTAGGGTACATAACCTCACAAAGAGATGCACTATTGCAAGTGTTTACACGACTTATAGGACTTTCATCCCCTTAATTTAATGTATTCTTTGTTCGTGTCTATGAGTTTGTTGCTTGTAAATACTTTGTCCGAGAGATTTATCTTTTTACAGATTTTTCTAGAAATGATGTTTCGATTATCAGGTTAAGCAGGGTGAGTGCATTCGCCAAACTGGACCCACTTTTATATTAGTAACGACCGTATCAAGTAAGCATCTTAAGCTCAAGCAGATACCTCAAAAAAAGTAGCGCTATTTCTGTAAATGTGACAAACAAGGCTTCAATTGCACTAGGTTTTGTAAACCTTATCCGGTGTGCTTGCTTCCTCTCCCTTTCCCCCTGCCCTAAAAGCTGTGTTGGATTACGCTCAACCAAAGGGTTCAACCATCTAAAATACCTCGCCTCTTCCTATTTTCATATTAACCTTCCATTAGACTTGATGTCTTTTCAACCTACTCGTGAATGTGATGAATGGCCAAATGAATGTATAATTTCTGTGGTTGGTGTCCAGACCATTGCATGACGCACTGTGCTTTGCTGTACTGCGGGTACACTGAGTTCTATCAGTTGTCGTGTGTGAGCGAAATGTCCTCCTGATTTTTCTGTACAATCATGAAAAGCTCTGGGATTCCACAAATGAGGGAAACCAGGGCAGGATTTACGGGTCCTTATAATGTCTGTAATAAATATATTCCACTTTCAGGTAGCCCTTGTCTGCCTACCTCTGCATGACGTCAGTGCTGAGTCACAGGCTGGGCTCAACAGTTTTGTTTCCTATATTTTCTTCTACTGGAGCCTTTCCAAGGGGAAAAGACAAGAGTCTCACAGCCTTACTCCTCATGTGTTGTTTTGTCAGAGTTAGAGCTCTGGTTGCCCAGTCTGACTTCTTACACAAAGCTTCTTCCTCTCCTATGCTCAAATATTATTGTTAGAAAATATAAGGCCGTTCTCTCCCTTCTCCGTAACTGGGAGGAATTTATGGTCCCAATCTATTTCTAAAGCACAAACACGAGAACTTCCTGGGTCAAGTGCTAACCTTTTCACCTCGAGGTGGATGCTGACACTTATATAAACAGAGCACCCTTCAAAAGCAGAAACTGTCTTCAGCCAGTCTTTCCTCACACTGCAGGCCTCTCTCCAAGGACTGCACATTTAATTAGCCTGGGCACTGAGTGAGTCTGGCTTCTCTCTCCCACCTCAGGCTGCCATCCCAGCGGCTGATGGGATGCCGTGGTGGGAGATGGCTCCCAGTTCTTGGCAGAATGTTTTTGTCGTGAACCTCAGCCCGCTGACGCCTCGTCCTCGATCCCCAACCCCCCCTTTATTTTTGGAGGGGGTGTGTGTGTAAAAGAGCAAGCTCTCACACATAAATATAATAACTATTACAAGAGGTGTCAAGTGGACAGCAGGTCGGGGATGGAGAGGAGCCTGTGTGGGGAAAACCTGGGTGGCAGGACAGAGCAGAGACACGCTCAGCTGGACGGGGGGTGTCTCAAGTCACTGATGCCTCTTGAATTTCAACGCAAACACGCGTAACATCTCTTTCACTCGGCCCAGCTGCGGGAAGTGCTACCGGGCTTCTCCTGGGGCCGGGCTGCCCACGCAGGCTTTGCTCTGTGGGATCCGCAGAGAGTCAACGAAATTTTCTTCACTTCGATGTCAAAAGAGACAAGCCCTGATTTGCAAGGCGTGGCGGCCATATCAAGAGCCGAGCTATCTGCAAGGGAGCAGGGCTGTCTCCAAAGGCTCCCGCCGATGACTCTATTTCTTTCATTTACCCGCCTGCCATATACTTTACCTTTTGTTTATTAGGGTAAAGCCACAAAGCAAAACAGATGGCCTTCTTCCAGAGATTTGGATGTGTTAAAGTGGCATTTGCATGCCAATGAGGACATTTCAATATCGAAATCTGGATCTAAACATTGCTGGAATCCGGATCTACAACTCGGTTCCCCCGGTGCTGACTTAATGTGTTAGAAACAGTGGCCATAAATTATAGCCTAAATGCGAGAGACAAGACGCTTTTCAGTGTGTCAATCTGCGGTGAGCGATTCGCAGGCAAAGAATCCCGTCTCCTTCCAAGACCAAACCTTGGTTATGTTTATAT